CCTATGGCAGCTTCATTTGTCTCACAAATGCAGCCTTTACAATTAATGCAAACGCGTCAACCACAAACAGTATGTTACGAATTAGAAATTTTACTATTATTTTATCATGTATTTCACAGATATTTGAGACTGTGAAATAAAATGTTGTTTTTACTTCAAATGGTGGGGACTATTTTTGACAGATGCTCAAAAAAAAAATACTCATAATACATTATTGTTTGATTTTTTAAAAATATCTTGATTCTATATCAACAATCAAAAGTATGAAAGATTTATAAGTCGAATACACCTTAGCTATCAAAAAGCTTTTATTCTCTTTGTAGTTAATAGGATAATTTCGAGTTTGACTAGTTCAGGCCACCATTCAACATATTTATGTTGAATTGATTGTTAAACAATGAATTCTTTATCAGAGCTGATAAAGTATTATTTGTAATGCATTTAAATATACTACTAGAAACAAAAATCTTTGATATATATACGAATGCTGAAATATTTTAAAAAATTTTCGTTATGTTTTATCTCATCAGATATATAGATATCTAAAGTTAGTATGTCAAATTCGATGCGTGGGTTTTTAGGCACGCAAAAGAAAAAATTGAGATATAGTATTAAAAATTGCAACACTCTAACAATCATGTACGTTTTAGTCGACTGAGTCACAATTATAAATACATATTCATTTATTTATTCTATCGTTAATACCATCAATATTGATGATGAATAATAGATCATTATTTGATTTTAAATACATAGACCACAAACGTCGAGAAAAATCGAAAACTTTCTATGCTTTTTTACCACTACTATCGTCAAAATATTTCTATACGGCTGAATAAAACCGTCTTTTCATTATATAAATAAGTATGTTTTTAATATTTGATCGATCAAATCATCAATCATCAAAATGAAAACAAAATTTATTTGACACATTAATAAATAGTGGTTGAAAACCACAAACAAAAAAAGTAATTTTATAGATTTATCGATCGATAAAATGAAGAAGCGAGAAAAATATATATATAACCGCAATTAATTTTTTCGTGACTGGTGAGAAATTACCTATATTGGTGAAAAAACACGGACATTGTTCATGATAGTTGTAGTTTTATGAAGCAATTCTTTTTCTTCATCTCGAATCCGTCGCTTTGTTAAATTTAAATCTCTTTAATATCTATACTCGTTCAAGCAAAGAAACATGGTCAGTGGAATGTAAACGAGCTTATACTGACTATGGCATGATACCCATTGAATAAAATAAACAGCTTTAAACAGAAAAACTTTCGGAAACAGATTCTATTGAGACTTTCTTGAATCTGAATTTAAATTTTTTAAACAATGGATTATGATTCAAATGAAACTTTAGTAGATCGATATGCATATTATCCACATTGAATTCACTTATATGTTTATTTTTTCATTTTTCAAAAAAAATAAACAATTACATGAAACAGCGAAAAATATTACACAAACAAAAAAAAGATGCACCGTCGATCAATAACGTTCATGACAGTTTCCACTAAAAAGCAAATTTTACTATAATTTGAGCAAGAATTTTACTTTTTTCTGATCATTCGTCCAGCCTGTTGCGACAAAATTCAGAGAAAAAAGTAATGTATACTGAATGCTATACTGAACAGTATATCATTCTTTCTAAGCTAAAACACACAAACAAAATGGTGGTGTTATTTATCCTAAGGTACATAATCTTGAGTCGTGTCTTAGACATCTATCCAGTTGGCTTTTTGAAATATTCTCTCATTATGAAAAAAACATTTCGACTAGAAGGCCTATCGTTCGCTACGTTCATTATTGACGTACAAAAATAAAAAAAAGAACCAATTCTTTTTTTTGAAAAGGAGTAAAACTCTCGTTGATCCGAAAGCGTGCACACACACAATTAATCTATTGCACAGCGTTATCAGTAATTCTTTATAAGATGTAAAGAGAGGTTTATACAAAATATGTTCTATTATAATGTGAAAGATAGTTTACTGCGGAGCCGGAAAACAACAGCAAATCATTCGTCCTTGAGGCTGTTGACCACCAAAACCTCCTTGAGGAAAGCCACCACCAAATCCTTGTTGTTGAACACCAAACTGCTGAGGAGGAAAGCTTTGAGGGGGTGGAGCAAACGATACAGGGTGTGGAGCAAAGCTTTGAGGTGGTGGAGCAAACGATACAGGGGGTGGAGCAAAGCTTTGAGGTGGTGGAGCAAACGATACAGGAGGTGGAGCAAATGATTGCACGGGAGCGAATTGTTGTTGGACGGGTTGGTACTGAGGCACGAATTGTTGTTGGACAGGTTGGTACTGAGGCACGAATTGTTGTTGGACAGGTTGGTACTGAGGCACGAATTGTTGTTGGACTGGTTGAGGAACAGGGACAGGTACTGGGTATGGTTGTGGTACTGGTATTTGTATTGGAGCTTGTTGCATCACTTGTAGAGGTTGCATTTGTGGGGCAAATGAAGCTGCCATAGA